CTTTCCATCTCTCTTTTTTAATTGGCATATTTAATCCATTTATATTTAATGTAACTTTTGGTATGATTTGGTTTAAGGATGCCATTTTATTGTTTTCTATTCTTCTGTTGTTGTTGTTCCTGTGTTTTATTTTCTGTCTTTCTGTGGATTACTTGAACATTTTTTAAATTCCATGTTGATTTTTCTGTAATGGTTTTGAGTCTATATCCTTGTGTAGATTTTTAGTGGTTACTCTTTGGGAGCAACCTTTAAAAGGGAGGACCCTTTACATACATAACTTATCAGTCTACTGCTCAGTACCTTTTACCACTTTGAATGAAATATAAAAACTTTACATCACTTAGGTTCATTTACTCATCCAGTCCCAATCTTTATTATATAATTGTTTTAAATATTTTCTGTACATATATTGAGACTGCATTAGACAGTGTTGTAATATTTGCCTCGGCCATCGAACATTATTTATAAAACTGAAAAGGATAGTCTGTTTTGCTTACCCATATTTTTACTCGCGTTCTTTATTCCTGATGTTCCAACTTTCCTTTTGCTCATTTCCTTTCTGAAAAACTTCTTTAGCCATTCTGTTAAGGTAAGTCTTCCAGTGATAAATTCTTATAGTTTTCCTTCATTTTAGAATGTTTTGGTTTCACCTCCATTCCTGAAGGATATTTTCACTTGATATAGAATTATGGTTTGAAAGTACTTTTCTTTCAGCACTTCTGGCCTCCATGGTTTCTAATGAGAAACCTTCTCTCATTCAAATAGTTGATCCTTTGTAGGTAATCAGTCATTTATTTTCCAGTTGCTTTTACTATTTAGCTTTAGTTTTCCAAGGTTAGATTATGATGTGCTTGGGCATGGATATCTTTTGGTTTATCTAACTGATTGGGTTTGATCAGCTTCTTGAGTCAAGGTTTATATCTTACTCAAAGTTTGGGAAGTCTTCAGCCATTATTTTTTCAACTACTTTTTCAGTTCCACCTTCTTTCTCCTTTTCTTCTTGGGACTTCAAATGTATGAATGTTAAATCTTGTGTTATTTTCCCACAGGTCCCTTAAACTCATTTTTTTTTCAGTGTGTATTCTTTCTGTTGATCAGATTGGGGAATTTATCTTGTTTCTTTAGTCTTTATTCAGTTAATTTCATTCTTCTATCAAGCCAATCCCCTGAGTTTATTTCGGTTATTGTATTATTCCATTTCAAATTTTCCATTTGGTTATTCTTTATATCCTCTATATCTTTGCTGAAACTTTCAATTTACTTGTTTCAAAAAAAGTGTTCGTAGATTCTCATTGAAGCATTTTTATGATGGATGTTTTAAAATCCTTGTCAGATAATTCTAACATCTCTGCATCTCGGTGTGTCTATTATCTCTTCTCATTCCCAGTTCTGTGTGTGATGAGTGATTTCCCATTGTATCCTGGACTTTTTGGTATTATGTTATCAGACGCTGTCTTTTTTTAAATCTGTTTTATCTTGCCTCCATAATAACCAGGCCAGTAGGAAAGAGGGGTGCTGTTTACTACCAGTTGCAGAATTTCTAGGCTCCCCATCCTAGTTCTGTTATCTCTCTAAGAAGATCTGCGATCTCTCTGGGAAGGGGGAGGGGTTATTCATTACTCTCCTTACTACTTGATAGGAGTGGAAATCCCCACCTTGTTGCCTCCATAATAGTAGGGGGAGTGGTTGTGGCAAGGGGTACGTCAGTACTGATGGGCTATAGTGACAGTCCAGGCTCTCTACCCAGTAGAGAGGGGCACCTTATTAGTAGGTGGGAGTGGATGTAAAGGCCTCTCAGGTGATGTCCACTGAAAGCACAACAATCGCCCTTTAAAAAAAAACATTTTAAATATCTTTTTGAAATATAATTCTCACATTACACAATTTACTCATTTAGTGTATAATTCAGTGGCTTTTAATATATTCACAAAGTTGCGTAACCATTACCACAATCTAAATTTAGAA